AGCAGTTTCTTTCCCAAATGGCTAATCTTGCCATGTTGAACGCAAGCTCCATAACGAGTTTCTTCGATGCCCATCTTCCTCTCAGACGTAATTGGTGCTGCCAGGAGCAGACATTTCTCATTGTCAAGAAAAACCCTAAACCATTTTAAATGCCATTTTCTGAAGGGCTTTAAAAGGTTTGAAGACTGTCTATGTCAAATATATTTCTGTATATCTAGAAAACCTAACTTACCTAACTATAAATTCTGACTATTACAAGTAACTATCTATAATCTGTATTTAATTACTCATTACATTTTAAAAGATCAGTATAAGCACAATACTTAATCAAGAGGAGAAATATACATATCACAAAATTGACCTTGAATTTGTATCAATAAATGAAAAACAATACCCATACCCTAATTCCCTTTTTTTACCATTAAAAAAGATTGGCTGTGATCATTAGCCAATTATAAACAACCCCGTTTAAATGAAAACAAAGACTTATAAAAAAGATGGGAATTAGGACGTCGCTCATTCCAAACTGCTTCCTGCTGGAAGGGGGCGTGTTCATACCATGGGGATCATGACAAAACTCAGAAACCTGTATAAGTCCGTATTTTCAGGGTCTGTAAAGCTGCATCATCTTAGCTGTCTCAATAGTTGGAACACCTGGTCCACTGCTTCCGGGGGTCTTGGTTCGTCAAACCACAGAAGCCTGGAAGGAATCCTCAGCTTTTCATTTTCTGTAGAAACATAAGCAAAATCTCCTTTTCCAAGTAACATATCCTTATACTTAAATTTTGAAGTCAAGGCATTTTTAAAAGATATAAGTTGAATTAATTCAGCAGCATTTATAATCAAGTGTACTTTAGCATTTGTTCCTTCCTTAGCAATGAAAAAACTTAAAAACACAATAGTGTACAGTATCCAGACTCTCTGTGTATTTTCCATCTTTACGTGGCTTATTTATTTATCTATTATTACTTTATTTCTTTTACTTTTATTTATTTTTCTCTGAGACAGGGTTTCTCTTTGGAAATCTGCCTGCCTCTGCCTCTGGAGCAATTTCTACTGGCGTGCGCCAACACAGCCGGCTTCTCTACTTATTCACCACTTTGTCGTTTTTTTTTTTTCTCTCTCTCTCGATCTTACGTATTTTTTTAAACACACTGTAAACCTTTAGAGGTTTTTCTTTATCCAAGTCTGACTTTACTGTAAATCTTTATGTTTTTCTGGCCACGTGTCTTATCTATTAAAACCACCGCCGTTTAAACTGCCGTATTTTCTAAGATGGAGGGTGTAAGCATGACTCCAGCTTACCGCCTCAGTCCATGCTGACATCCAGCAAAAGCTGCCACTTCCAGCTGTACGTACACACCTTTCAATCGTTAGCAGAGTCTCTTAAAACAACCTTGTTGGATTTTTTTTCTTTTTCTTTTTCTTTTTTTTTTTTTTATGCTGAGTCAGGAAGACTCCAGTAAGCGAGCTGTGTGAATCTCAGCTTGTCGCTAGCAAAACAGAGCACACCTGAGAAAAATGCTGCTACCACAAATCTGTGCTTCTCTGCGTTCTTCTGTTTCTAAAATTCCTTTAAAGCTTTTGTTATTTTGCATGGAAATTCATGATCCTGATCACCATTCTGTTATGAGAAGCTTTTCCTTTGCTAGCCGTTTTGGTTTTTCCTGCCAGCTGCCTGGGCTCTACCACATTGTAGTCCCCAAATAAACACACAGGAGGCTATATTAATTATGAAGCTGTTGGCCTTGCTTGTTTCTTACTGGCTAGCTCTGACTTAAGTAATTACCCCATAATTGTTAATCTAAGTATGTCTCTTACCGGAGAATAGTTCCGGGCTCCTACCCCATGGCGTTACATCTCGAACTCTCTTGTGTTTCTCCTTCCCAGAATCCTCCTGGACTCCTACTCCCACCCATCTAGATTCTTATTGGCCAACAGTGCTTTATTAACAAATGTACAGGACTTCCCCCATCAATCATGGAAATGGAAATCAAAACAACTCTGAGATACCATCTTGCTCCCATCAGGATGGCTAAAATCAAAAACACCAATGACAGTTTATGCTGGAGAGGATGTGGATAAAGGGTAACACTCCTCCACTGCTGGTGGGAGTGCCAACTTGTACAGCCATTATGGAAATCAGTATGGAGATTCCCATTGAAAATGGGAATCAGTCTACCACAAGACCCAGCAATTCCACTTTTAGGTATATACCCAAAAGATGTACATTCATATAAGGACGTCTGTTCCACTATATTCATAGCAGCATTATTTGTAATAGCCAGAACTTGGAAACAACCTAAATGCCCCCAACTGAAGAGTGAATAGAGAAAATGTGGTCCATTTACACAATGGAGTACTATTCAGAGGCAAAAAGAACAATGGAATCTTGAAATTTTCAGGCAAATGGATGTCACTAGAAGAAAACATTCTCAGTGAGGTAACCCAGTCACAAAAAAAAAGAAACATGGTATGTACTCACTCATATATGAATTTTAGACATGGATCAGGGAGTGCCAGCCTATAAAACCACTGCCAAAGAGTCTGGGACACAATACCTTTATCTAGATATTGATAGAAGCAGAGGCAGACACCCACAGCTAAACACTGACTTAAATCTTGGAATTTAGTGACAGAGTAAGGACTCCTGCACAAAGGGGCAAAGACTGGGCTGGTTTAACACCCAAAAACATCTGACCTGAACATAGGTGATCTCTTGAACCCAATACTGATGGTTAGAAAGTCAGCATGGGACTGATCTAGACCACCAGAATGTAGGTGTCAGTGAGGAGACTTAGGCAATTTATGGGACCTTGGGTAGTAGATCAGGATTTATCCCTGGCATATAAATGAACTTTGGGTGCCCATCCCACAATGAGGAATGCTCTCTCAGTCTTGACTCTTGGAGCAGGGCCCAGGCCCTGCCCTGAATGAAATGATAGACTCTGGAGATCTCCAATGGAGGCCCTCAACTTTCCTGGGGAACACAGTGGGGTGCTGTTGGGTCTGTGGGGTTGGGGGAAGACTGGAGGGAGAGGGAGCTGGTATTGACATGTGAATACCAGCTTGTTTCTAACTTAAATTAAAAGAAGAAAAAAATGATTGTTTCTAAATTTAAAAAATAGCAAAAGAAAAGATTTTTACCTTGTCTCCCAAATGCCCCCCTTTTCCATCCATCTCTTCCAGCAATCTTTCCCCACAGACCCCTCACCCATTCCCACCCTCACCCACACTAATTCCATCTGCAAAATTTATTTTAGTTCCTCTTCACAGCTAAATCCTTTCATACAACCTGGAGCCCTCCTTGTTACTTACCCTCTCTGGGTCTGTGGATTGTAGCACAATTATCCATTACTTTACAGATAATATCTATTTATAAATGAGTACATACCTTACTTTTCTTTCCTGGAGGAAAAAAATCATACATGAAAGCAAAAGAGCATGCTTTATAGGTCAGTAAAAACCAGATACAGTTTTCAGAACATAAAATTAGGTTACTATATCACATGCATTAAGATACAAATGTCAAAGACACATTTAGAGATTTTAGAAAACTGTATAAAAATAGCTTTGTGTTCTTTATGCTCACAGAACAAGAAATGGTTTTTATAAGTACATGAAAATTCATAAATCATAAAGGAAATACATTAAACTATAATCTGTTCGCTAAAATAATAATTTGAACTGCATTTGAAATTGGAATTATAATAGCATAAATCTGTGAAAAGAAATAAGCATAAAGCAAGAGACAAGTGTTTTCAGGACCTGCCCAAAATATTGGTCTTTTTAGTAAAATGTTTCTCACGAATTAAGGAGACAAATTCAATAATCCAATACCAAAATGGGCAAGACCAAAAACAGATACTTGAGAGAAGTGAGTAGCCAAATAATTTGTGGAATAACCAGAAAATGCAAATTTTACAATAAAGTCAATGCAACATCATAACCAAATGTATTGGCAAATATATAGAGACATCTTAGTGTATCTACTCCTTTTGAGCATATATAGTAATGGAAATATTTTCTTACAACCAATAAAGGTACAATTTTTAATAAATATCTTGAGTAAAGATGAAAATTGTCATTTTCAGTTATATAGTAGTGTGTGTGTGTGTGTGTGTGTGTGTGTGTGTGTATACTCTTGGCATAAAGTTTAATAAAACTCAGTTTTTCTTGTCACAGGTAGGATTGCATGTGCCTATTTGATGCATATTCACCGAATTTTAAATAGAAACAGTTGTATATTCTAAACGTCCATCACCACAAAATGAATAAATATATTTTAGTACATTCCATTAGATATCATCAATGAAAAGATGAGATCTGGGTAGACACATAACCAGGCATTTTAATCATCTCTAGAACTGTTGTCTTTATTTAAATGTCAAGATATGCAGAACTAAATAATACAATAATACTATGTGGTCGGAGAGGGGAGATAAATTTCCTGCAGGACTGAAGGCCTGAGTTCAACCCTCGTACACCACATACAAGCTGATTTACTGGCACTGGAGCGTGTCAGTCATCCTACCCTTCTATTCTGAGATGAAAGACAGGCAGAACAGGCCCGAAACAGTGAAGCCAAAGAAGGAAGGAAGACTCTGCCTCAAAGGCAAGGTAGGAGAGAACTGGTTTTCAGAAGTTGTCCTTTGACCAGTATGTACCTGCTCTCTCACACACATACATACAACATAAATGCTCATTAGAATAGTATGTTTTGAAGCTGGAGTAAACAAAAGACTGAGAATTTGCAGCGTGATCAAACTAAGGTAGGGAAGGCTGAAAGCTGAGATCACATATAAATCAACAATTACATATATATGTGCACATGTATGCAGAGAGGCATGTTCTTACCCAGAAGCACATGGGAATTTATCTACCATTATTCTTATTTCTTAAAGTATATTTTCTAAATAGATCTTGAAATCTAATCACTATATTATACATTATATTATACAGTAATAATATTTATTAGAAATTTTGGAGCAAGCAAAGAAATGTTCTGAGCAGGAGGTTAATAAAGCTATCAAGAGCAATAGCTGATAAATTAGAAGAGAGTCAGTAGTTTGTGAAATACATACAATGTATGGCAGCATCTAAATGAAACCTTCAAGGAAGGCACAGACATACAGATAAGAGGACAAAGATGTTGATTCCAACCTGGTAACAAAGCTACTTCGCTCTAAACATGTTCTTCTTTATTAACAAGCACAGACATGCCTGACAAAAGATGATCACTATGGCAACAGCTCTACCATAATCTCCCTTAATTGTAAAATTATATACAGAGAGGTTTAGTAAGTGAGCTTTCCATGTTTCTCTTGTGAATAGGAGCAAAGCTGTATGTCACAGGACATTTGCCATTTATAATAACCTAGATTGTTAAACCATTTCCCCTTTAATATAAAATGTTTCCTTAGTGTCAACAAATGACAGATGAAATTGTAGGCAAAAGTAAGACTGTCCATTGCAAGAGTGAGTGCCGGTATTTGCAAAATGAGTTTACTAAACAAAATTACCTATGTAAAATGATGTGTCTCTGCAAACATTTTTAAGTAATAAATAAAATTAAAACAGCAGTTAATTTCTGAGATTGCAATGCGATAGACTTTCAATACAGATGATATTTAACACATAATTGCAGAGATGCAGGACTTAGATCTTTGCACAATACTGACCTGAGATACATAGGAAGTGATCAGGTGACAGATGATGACATAATAGAGAATCTAGGGACATTTTCCTTACATAATAAGCTAAAGTTATTCAAATTTAAGACAGATGTGCAACAAAAGAAAAAAGTAAATTCAACATTTGTTTATAGCTCCTTATTGAGAAATTGAAAATTTTATTAGGAAGTTGAAATGGTGATATCTCAGCCAGTCCATAATGTGCTTCTCTTTCAAGCTTGAGGTCCTGAGTTTTATTCCAGTATCTACATAAGAAGAAAAAAATAAAGATGTGACCACAGCAGTACACACCTAATGCTGGAAAGATAGAGATAAACTGACCCTTCTAGCTCACTGGTCAGTCAGTACAACCTAGTTGGTCATTTCCAGGCCTGCGAGAATCTCTGACTCAAGTATGATAGATGATCATTAGGAATGGTACCCAAGGTTGCCTCTGGCCTCCATATAAACACATGTGCACTCATAAATACATGAGTAGACATGCACATCCCCAAAAATCAAAATGTAAGGTGGTACTTAATTTGACTTCTCATTTTAGCCTTCTGTCATAAGTAATAGTACAGGCCTATAGGCTTTACTTCAGTGTACCATAACATCAAAGGTTTTGCTTATAAGTTTCCATTGTATGTGATTTTTAACTGCAAGTAGAATTTAAAAGATCTGCTACACTGTGAATTAACTGTGAATGACATTCATATTTCACATCCTGAAAAACTATTTACAAGACTTTATTCTTTAAACATAGTATTGGGTAAATTCTTGTCTGGTATGGACAGGGCTGGGAAGTTACTACACCCATTCTCAGGAAAATGAGACTTCAGAAATGGAAATGAACAACTCACAGAGGACACAAAATATAGTACTAACCCTAGCCTGCAGAAAGCAGAGGGTCTGAAGAGTCACAGTTTACAATGAAAGAGGTCCCAATGTGTGGGCCTGCAGACTAAGCCAACATGGTTAAAATATATCACTTACTATCAAGGCACATTGGTCAGTTCTTTTAGAACTTTTGGTTATTATTACTTGAAGTAAAGAATTAAAATGTATCTCAGTTATGCAAGTCTGACAGCATTTCAGAGGTAGATAGTTCAATTCATCATTCCACCAGGTTTCAGAAAAGGAATAAAATTTTGTGCAGGAAAGCATTAATAAAGTACAATGTCCATTCATATCACACACACATAAATGCAACCACGTTCAAATAGAGTAGAGATCCCTCAACCTGACACAAAACTCCAAAGCTGTCACCAGAAATTTTAGTGAGAAATTGGATCTCAGTCTTGCTAAGACTGAGATCAAGGTAAGGATATCTATTTGTTATGATAACAGTGGATGTAATGTGTTGATTTTTAACATTTATAGAACCACACAACAGACAGAGTGGGTTGTGGCATACACCAATTCTGATTTCAATTAATAAGGATATATCACATTGGGAAGCGAATTGTAATAAATATATCATAGTAATGAACGACATTTAAAATTATGAAAAATTATGAACATACACACATACACATACTCATAATTTTAAATCAATATCTTTCTTATAAGAGAAAACATTAGTTTTCTTTCTGAGTCAGGCTATTTTTAGATAATATAATGATTGCCACTTCCAACCATTTTCTTGCAAATCTCATGTTTTTATTTTTCTTTGGAGCTGCATGATCTTTCAGTCTGCATATATATATTCTGCAGACATATCAAAGTTTATTTTCCCATTTCTTGGCAACTGTGGTTAGTGACGTAACATACATAAATGAGCAAATATATCTTTGGTATGTTAATTAGGAGTCCTTTGGATATGTACTCAAAAATGGTATAGCTATGTCATGTTGTAGCTCTATTTTGAGATTGTTAGAGCACCTTTCATCCTGATTATCACAGTGACTATACAAGTTAGTATTGCCACCAGAAAGGAAGAAAAATCCCCCCACATTCTCATGATTATTCTTTGTTTATTAAACTCAGTGCTTTCTGTTCCTTTTTAGGTGACATAGAACCTCAAAGAAATTTAAAGTTTTACTTTTCTGATGATTATAGGTTGAACAATTTTCAAGTATTTTTAGGTTCTTTTATTTATTCTTTAAGAGACATTTGTATGTAAGTATGTATGTGTGTGAAGATAATGAATTTAGAAAAACAATCATAAAGGGGAGAAAGAAATCTAAAGGGTAGAGGAAAAGAAAATAATAGAAGCAATAAGAAACAGACAACCAAAGCAGAGCAAAAAGAAAGCAGTGGGGCTGTGGCTATGAACATATTATAGCAAAAAACCTACTCATTTTTTGTTACTTTAAAAATTAGTTTAAATGTACAAGAAAGGAATGGCCTTGGTTAGCAATCTACAAGACCTTATACATGAGAATGCACTGTTATATATTATTTATGATCTAATGAAGCTTGTCTGGAGATCAGAATGCAAAGTTAGCCATAGGCATAGATGCCAGGCAGTGATGGTACACACTTACAATCCCAGGTCTCAAGAAAGAGGCAGATGAATCTCTGTGAGTTCAAGGCTACCCAGAACTACATGAGAGCAAATCAGTCTGAAAAAGAAACAGAGCTCACACCTTTAATCCCAACACTAGAGAGGTATATAAGATAGGAGCATGGTCTCAGAACATTCATTCTCCTGTCACATTTGATGTGGGAAGTCCTTCTGGGTATATGTCCATAAAGCACTGTTGGCCAATAGGAAAGCAAGATAGGTGGGACTAGGAGTCGAGGAGGATTCTGGGAAAGAGAGGCATATTCAGTCACAATGTAGGACGTAGGAGAAGCAACATGTGGGCCCTTCCTCCAGTAAGCAAAGACCACATGGAAATACTCAGACTAGCAATTATGGATTAAATACTTAAGTCAAAGCTACCCAGTAAGGAACAAAGCAAACAGCTAACAACTTATAATTAATATAGCATCCTGTGTGTTATTTGGGGGGCTAAAACAGCTCGGCAGGGCCCAGGCAGCAGGTGGGAAGACTACATGCTACACATTGGAGACTGGACCTCCCCAGGCCTCTGTAGCTTGACTGCTTTGCTTCTCTGACCTTTAGCTTGAACCTCAATATCTGTCTCAGGGTTTTTATTCATACAATGAGAATGCTAAATATTTTCCTGACGGCTTTTCTATAAATTAAGAAATGTTCTTAAGATGAAAATGGAGTAGGGGCTGATGAGTGTGCTTGGTAGCTAAAGAGCACATCATGATCTTTGACTAATGCTTTAGGGAATTTGATGTCCTTTTTAGAATTCTGCAGGCACGCACCTGCACTCATATGTACATACCCCACTCTTACACACATAACACACTTATTAAACTCAAGAAAGGAATATACACCTACATATATGCATTTAAATATATTAATAGGATACAAATATGTTGATATATCTATATATTTAAATTTTACACATACATATGCATTTATATATGACATTCAAGGAAGCATCACCAATTGTTCCTCCCAAATTTGCACTTTGATTGACAAACTGTTCTTCCTATTGTAACACCTTCAAAGAGGATATTGATACTGAATGAGTCATAAGGGCCTGGTCCTAATCCTATCTTCTTAATACCCTTACAAGAGGAAGAGAGACTTAGATTATATACATAAGGACACCATGAGATAACAGCCATCTACAATCCAAGAAAAGCCTCAGCCAAAAAAAAAGCCCCATTCATATCTTCAGCCACCAGAACAATGAAAAATAAACATGTGTTGTTTCACATCTCTGGTTTCATTTGCTTTTTAGTGACAGACCTAGTAGGTTAATTCACATCCAACACTACCAAGAGAAGTGATAGCTCTTAACTTACATCCTTGTTAAAAATCCTCCCATGGACTTGACTGCTTACTACACTTGCCACAAGAAAACCTAAAACCTCACAAGCTAGGAGGTTTGTGAATTTCCAAGTTTATCTAGTTTCCTTGGATCTGAATTGGTTTTGATTGTTGGGGTGGTTTGAATTTGAAGAAATTTCACACATAGGCTCATGTGTGTGAACATTTGGTCACTGGTTTGTGGACGTTATAGAACATTTAGGAGGTGTAATCTTGCAGGAAGAAGTAGGGTTTACAGTAGACATTGGGTGTAAACCTCAAGTGTTTATATCCTTGCTCCACTTCCTGTTCTATCATCTGTCTATCTATCATCTATCTCCCCTTCTCCCTTTCTATGTTGTGGGCCAATGAAATGTGCAGCAATATCCTTTTGCTATCATACCATGTCTTCCCTGCCATTCTAGACTCTGAACCTCTAGAACAGTAAGTCAACAGGAACCCTTGAGTTGTTGTATCACAACAACAGAAAATTGACTCAGAATAATTTATAGACAAATGTATTATTCTACCTAAATAATATGAATCCACAGTAAAGCACCAGTATCCTGTGAACTGCTTACTGAATACAAAATGATAGTTATTCAGAATTCATGGTTTTCTATTTACTTTAAGTACAGGATACATAAAGGTGTTCTCAACATGATCAAAGTAGACATCATTAGCTAGAGTTATGGAGAATGGTATTTCTAATCATTATCATTTTTGTTAATATCACTACATGCATGTTTGTTGCAGTAAAAACCATTTTAGCTTTAAAATGTCTATATCAACCCAAAGATGGATTACACTGATATTCTTAGGAGAGGCATCTGCAGAATAAAATAAAGCAAAATACCCAAGCACCCTACAGATTGTTTTCCTTTTCCTTTATGTTGCTATGTGTTGTTCAATGTGCTTATTTAATCTATCACAGGGCCCCTGTCTGTGTCCCTTTCAACTAGTGACATGCCATTAGAAGCATAAATTCACATTTGGAAACATGAATATTTTTCCTGCTAAGGATAAATGCAGGCAAGATCCAATTCTATTTCTCCACTTTAGTCCCACCCACCTCAAAGTGTGCACATGTGTAGACTGTAGCCTTCCTTGCCTACCGCTTTGGTTTTTTCCCCTGTCCAGCTGCCTGGGCTCTGCCACAGTTGCAGTACCCAAAAAACACACAAGACACTGTATTAATTATGAAGCTGTTGGCCATTTGCTTGTTTCTTATTGGCTATCTCTGACTTAAGTATTTAACCCATCTAAGTATTTCTCTTACTGGAGAAAGGGCCTGGACCTCTTACTTCTATGGCGGCTACATGATGTCTGACTCTGCCTCTCTTTCCCAGAATCCTCCTTGACTCCTAGTCCCACCTATCTTGCTTACCTATTGGCCAACAGTGCTTTATTAACATATACACAAGACTTCCCCAACACACATGAGCTACAGCCCTACTCACATCAAAGCTTGCAAATGATCTGAAAAGGACATTACAAACAAATGACTTCTTAACTCTGTCTTTCTTGTTTCTCTCAAGCATCCCGACTCCCTATCAAATAGTTTTAAGCCATATTTCATAGTTTTTCCATGGAATTCATGTTCTTCCATATTTCAATATGCAGTGAGTGTCCTATTTCTCAGCTAGTAACCATGCCCCTTTTAGTTATGTCTTTCTTAGGAAATGTTATAACAGTACTGGGCCCACACCCAAGAAGCTCTAGAGACATCCCAGATTGTCTGTTCTCAGAATCAGTCCTGCTGGCTCTCATCAGAAAGACAAAAAGCGGAAACAAATTGCAAACAAGTCTGAACTGACTACTGTATTCAGAAATGTGCCACTGAAATTTAATGAAATGTCTGGATAGAAACAGAAACAAGGGCCCATAGAAAACAGCCAGTTAAAAATTGCCATTCTTCTTCAGTAAAGCTCCCCCAGTTAGTTTTGTTCCCTGCACTGTGGGATTTGGAGTGAGGAATGGGATCCTGTATTGCTGTGTGATATGGAAGATGCACTCCAGAGGTTTCCTGCATAGCAGGTCTTTCTCAAAGGTCGAAGACAATGTTACCTCTTCAGAACCAATAAAAACATGCTCTTACACTGAGAAAAGGAGGAATTGTAGGAGCAGAGACAGGCTATAGAGATTTGGAGGAAGGAGGTGGAGTGGCAATGTAGTCAGGTAAAAACACTGTTGCAGGGCAGGCACATGCTGAGCCTACTACAAGCATCTCACCTTCAAGTTGAAACAGCATAAATTCAGATCTCAGCATGGAATCTACTTGCCCTTGACTCCTATAGACTCCAAATGCATCACTCTTGTTTTATGAGAAAGGGTTTCTCTGTAATGTTTTGGAGGCTGTTGGACCAGCCCGACCTCGAACTCACAGAGATCTGCCTGCCTCTGCCTCCCGAGTGCTGGGATTAAAGGCATATGCCACCAATGCCCAGCTAAATGCATCATTCTTTAGCAGAGCAGCCGTCTTTAATTTATTTAGGTCTTTTGACTCTCTTTAAATTGTGGAAAACCATATATCTATACCATAGAAACCAGTTCCCATAAGGAAGCTCTCTCTCTCTCTCTCTCTCTCTCTCTCTCTCTCTCTCTCTCTCTCTCTCTCTCTCTCTCTCTCTCTCCCCTCTCTCCTACCATTTCAGAGACTGATTTAATCAACATGATGCAATATATATTTTACATGATAAATTAATTATATTATGACTGATAAAGCACTTAGTTAATACTAGTCAGATGTAATCATATTAGAGAGACTGTTTCTCTACACTATTATTTTCATTTTCATTAATTATATCTTAAAACTGGGATAATCATAGGATAATGAACCATATAAGAAAGGCAAAGGAAACAAAAATGAGGCAAATTGAAGTACAACAAAGGTCTACAGTCCCTAGTTTGGCTAGCTGCCTCTTTTAGAAAGTCCCACTATTCATCACTGACAAAGTTATTGAAGAGTTAGAGCAATGATTCTCAATGTGTGGGTCATGACCATTTTAGGTACCATATCAGATATCTTGCATATCAGATACTTACATTACAATCCAATAGTAGCAAAATTACAGTTATAAAGTAGCAGCGAAATAATTTTTATAGTTGGGTTCATCAAGACATGAGAAACTTTATTGAAGGGACACAGCATTAGGAAAGTTGCGAACCACTGGCATAACACATTTTCAAAAGATGGAGTTTAATTAAGGGTGTTTTTTGATTGTTCTTTTTTGGAAGTCTACTATATCTGAAAACCAACCAAACAAGCAACCAGACAAAACAGCATAAGTGTATTGGGGCTATTACTGCAAGCAACTAAGGTTAATTAGATTATTTATCTAATAATGAAAAAATTACCTCTGTTTTTGAAGAAAAATGGAGAAATGATTTTTAAAACATAAATTCAGAGATAGAAACCAGAAATGAGAATAAATTTTGAAGTGATTGAGACAGTCATAAAAATATACACAAAACTTTCTGACAAGACATTTGAAAGTTTAGAGGAAGTGGATTATTTCCCAGCAAACTGTGTATTGCCAAAATTCACCCAAGAAGAAAGGAGGAAACTTAAATACACCAGTTACCATAAAAGAGTTTAAAAAAAGATGCTTAAAGATCTATCATTGAAAAAGGCAGTGAGAACAGATGGCTACCCAGCTGAGGTTTACATAACATGTATTTTATATAACCTTTAAGAAAGAGAGCTGTTCAGAGTTAAATTATTTCAGGCCGTAGGAGAAAATAAAGATAAAAATCTTCCCCCGTTCATAGTACAAAGGCAATATAACTTTCTAAATAAGAAAAATAGAACAATAAATGATTATGAAAAGATATTGTTTATGAACAAAGGTGAAAATGTATTAAAATGTGAGGAATCATGTTAAAACCATGATTCCATATCTGTTTTGTTGTTGTCACTTAACTTACATGTTCAGTGGATTGGTCTGTGTCAAAATAACAGAAATGAAGCAAAACCTAAAGTGTTTTACCATACCCCCATGAACCTTTCTGTCTAGCATGATGAATTTGGGAATAAAAGAAGTAAATAAGCACTTGATATATTGGATGATGATAAATAAAAAAGAAACCTGAACAGAGATGTAGACAGATGTTAAGAGGGAAATCAGTCACTTTGAATTCTGTGATTATTGCAGGCTGGAACAGAGTAGATAGCATTTCTTGGGTGTGTATGTCCATGGGTAATTCGAGAGACCATTCCAGGCAGAGGAAAAGCCAGTGCAGAATGCTGAGAGGCCCCTCAAAGGACAATGTACCTGGGTCAAAACAAGACCAGAAGACAGGGTAATACATAGTCAGAAATGCAGGGAATTGATATAAACAATGAGTCTGCCTGTGAAGTTGCAGTACTTACAATAAAGTGATGACATTACTTAACTTCTCTCTGGGTTTATCACTCTGACCAGTGCATTAAGGCTGAAGTGAAGGAAACCAAATGGGAGTGTTCTGTAATAACTGACACAGGAGTTCTGGTGCCTTGAATTACAATGGTGATAGGAAAGTGCCAGGAAAATATGATTGGTGTGAAGATTTAAAAACTTAGCTAAGTTTTGTTCAATTTTTTCTCTACCTTCATTGTAACTGATTTGGGCATGGAGTAGGAAGAAAGACTGATCACTACTTGGTAATGTAAAATCCATTAGGTAAGCCTAAAAATTGAACTGAACTGATGTAACATTTATTAAGAGCCATGTTTGATAAAACTCTCATTAGATATTCTTCTTAATAGTTTTCTTTTTAAAAATTGAATATTCTAGACCGCTATGGTGATTATTATTCTACATACTAAAGTTAAATCTGTTTTAATTGAAACCAGAAACTGGGTATGTATTTGTACTTTCACATCTCAATTTAATAATGCATTCAACAATCAAGTCTTTGTAATGAGATACATAATTTAATAAATTGAACAAAGTCTTCAGAAGACAAAAATATCTCCTTTTCAGGACATAAGTTTCTAACTGGAAAGCTCAGGGAGCTATAAACAACTGGGATTAACAAGAGAATTATTTAAGGTGAATAAATAGAAAGCAAATGCAGAGATCAGAGAGATGGCTCAGCAGTTGAGAGCACTGTTGCTCTTCCTGAGGACCATGGATCAATTCCCAATGCCCACAGGACAGCTCAAAGCTGTCTGTACCTCTAGTTCCAGAAGATCTGACACCTTCATATCAAAGCACATAAAATGAATTTAAAGTTCTTAAAAAAAGAAGTCAAATCCATGAAACATGTTTGTTTGGTTTTAATAATGAGAAAATAGAGAAAAATGAGGGAAAAACTCTCATATTAGTGAGAATGGTATGAGATTCTTAGGTATTGATTTCTTGAGAAAGAAATGGTATATTCAGAGGAAATCACTGTCTTGTTAAGAAATACAACATACTGAAAAATTGTAAATCATACCAGATTAGGATAAGGCTTTTAAATTCAGCATATAAATTATGTGTCTAATTATTATGTAGAACTTATTTAAATTATTTGACTGTTAAATTTATGTATACAAATAGCCAAGAAAAATTCTGGTATCTAGTAAATAAAATCTTTTGAATACTAAAACTAGAAAAATGAGTGATTTGACTTACCAGACAACAGAAGAAATACAAATCCATAAAGAGTAAAATGGTCTTGGCATTGAAATGTTGATTTATGTCCATAGCCAAACCTGAAGCAAGAGGATCACAAGCTCAAAACCTGTCTCTGCTGCAGTTACTTCAATCCAGCCTGGGAAACTTACACAGACTTAAACAGACTGCCTCAAAATATATGAGGAAGGAGAGATCCTGTGGATGTCTCTCAGTGGTATAGTGCTTAACCTAATATTTCCACAGCCCTTGGCTCAATCCCTAGTATTAGAAAAGTAAAGTTGTTAGGTTGTTAGATAACAAAGACAGCAATTCTATTACGTGAGAAAGACACCTAACAGAACAAGAAAAAGTAGATGTAGACACTTATCTTCAGGAAGATAGGATATGAACACTATCCTCACATAAACAAATACCAAATGGTTAAACACTTGAAATTAAAATCAGGTGATAACATCATTTTAGAAGGGAATCTAAAGGAAGCATAAACACAGAAGGATCTGAGAATCATATATCTATTGCCAACAGATGACCAGAAACTACTTTAGTAGATCTAGGTTAGACATTCCCTGAGTTCTATGGGAATTGATCTATCTATTAATGTTTATAAGTTAAGTTTTATGAAGTCCACATGCCCACAATGTAACCAGGAGATAAGCAGCATTAATCATTTATCAGTTACACTAATTCTGTTTGTTTGTGCATAATTACCTAAAACATTAGAGCTGTTTTTATGTTGTTGTGCTCTGCAGAATATTAGACAACCACAAATATAATTGTAATTAGACAGTCCCACCTAAACAAAAATTGGAATCACAGAATCCATAAAGTAAATATGCACATTATTTATCTTACATGTAAGAAATTATTTACAAGACAATACATATTATGGGCAAGTAGAGAGGCAATTATTTGGAAGGAAATACTTGTTAAAAATTAAGTAAATGGCCGGGCGGTGGTGGCGCATGCCTTCAATCCCAGCACTTGGGAGGCAGAGGCAGGCTGATCTCTGTGAGTTCGTGGCTGGGCTGGACCGATAGCCTCAGAAACAATACAGAGAAACCCTGTCTCGTAAAAAAAAAAAATTAAGTAAAGGTTTGTCATATTCACCTGAACACTCAATTGAATGTACAGATGGGCAAAATAAAAAGAAGCAATTTGTAGTAGTTCAAAGCCAAATGATTGTGAAATGTATAGCAAAATGTTTAAGCTTATGAGAGAGGTATAGATTGCAGTGACAACTGACTCATTTCATACTCACTGGGCATGAAAAATGACTATTGCTAACTAATGTATAGAAATTATGTGGTTTCTTAAATTAGCAATTGAAATGTAAATCATAATATCTATTTTTAAAATTAATTAATTTTAAGAACACATTCAAATATTTATGTAAAACTATGTATGGATGAAGAAAACTTTAAAAAAAAGATTCAATGCAGGTTGGAGTGGCCAGTTCAAATTTACATTTTTGAAGTGAGAAATACAAGCTGAATTGCTATTTATAATAACTTCCATTTCCACACAAGATATAGAAAGGAGGAAAATAGCTGCTCTCACAAAACAATAAACTGCATTTTACTTTCCTTTGAAAGCTAGATATTACAAAAATCAAATAGTTTGAAATCTTAAGAAAGATTGATAAACCAAGAAGAGGCAGCACAATGAGTGAAGCATGGAATACAAAAGGGGCAGTTGTAATATCAACAGGTAAGAAGACTGCTGAAATATGCCACACATTCTCTAATTTTGAGCACCGATGAGCCTGCATGAATAGAATCTATCATCCAAAGACATAAGGGAATTTTCTGCTACCTGCATTGTTTTCTAAGACACTCCAACAGATGGTAGACAGAAGGAAAGACTAGACATGTACTCTAAAAGTGCTGGTAATAATTAGAAAGCCAAGTCACACTAAGCACAGACACAGACCAACTAAAGATGTCAAATGAAAAAGCACCAACTTTGCTGTAACTGAAACATCTACCATACAAGTCTTGAATCTAAGGTACAAGGTACATCATAGAAAAAGGATAGAAAGATATTAAGAGGCAGAGAAGCAGGATGTCTGATGTACAATAGCATTTTCAATATATGACATGGAAACATAAAGTATTAATAATGTGAGTGCCTAGACAAGACATGAAAATTGTCAATACCAATTAACACGCAGAAGTGGATGAAGGAAATCTCACAAGACCCCACCAATAAAGAATAGCTACAGGCAATAATGGCTGATGAAAGATAGAGACTTAGTCTTCTCCAAGGACTAGTTCAGTATTAGACTATCCAATCCCAAACAGTCAGGTCTAGACATATATACAACAGCAGTAAATGAGCTCATTGACATATACATACATACATTTAAAAAGAAGAGGCCATGAATTTGATAAGTGCTAAATGGATGTTGAAAAATCATGATGGAGAAAATGGAGAGAGGAATGATATAAAGACAGTATTCACATATTCACGTATGAATTTCTCAAAAAAGTTAACATAATCTAACCCAGATGGAGAAGTTGAAAAGCCTCTATTGATCTACTAAGTTTCTCCTACTACTATAAAAAGAGGAGAAATTTCCCTCTCATACACCACCTTCTAAAGATACAAAGCTATGTGAAATATTATGAAAAAGATGGATAGAAGGATTCAGAAATGCCTTCCTCTTAGACACAGGACCTATCAAGGACTGAGGCTGGAACAGGACCATGGAGAGTTCCCTACTTGCACAATTCCTCTGCCAGTCCAGCAAACATTGAGTAACATGTAGAGAGCCTTCTATCACTGGAATAAGCCAGAGCACAGAGATGGGTTTCACCTGCAGCTCAAAGAAATAAGAATTCTTGTCAAAATAGAGCAGAAACATCCTACCACCCCAGTGTATTTCTAAGCCCAAGATACCTTCAGAATAAATTTGAAACCACAGCAATGAAAACATCCATCCATGGCAAGTCACGTGTAGAGGTGCACACCTTTAATCTTAGAAGGAAGCAAGGTGGTTCTCTGTGCATTCAAGGCCAGCGTGGTCTACATTGTTTGCTCTAGGACAATAGGTGCTATAATGAAGCCTTTCTTAGAAACAAAGAAGAACAACAACAAAAAGAAAAGGAGGAAGGAAGGAAGGAAATACAAAAAAAAACTCAGAAAAACCAAACAAAATAACAACAAAAAAGAAAAGGTACATCCAAAGAAAGCTTAACTTCTAAATGGAAGGACTCAACTTCCTGCACTGACAGTTTAAGTAACCAATATGTGTCACTACCAAATAATACTTTTTTGTTTGTTTATTTTTACATCTCAACCAAAGTTTTCCTTATCTCCCATCTTCCAAATTCCTTCCCTCTCCCATCCAATTTTCCTCTGTTTCTCCTCAGATACAGGTGGAACTCCCAAAGGTATCAGCCAGACAAAGTTATCAAGTTGCAGTAAAACTAGGCTGCTCCTTTTATTTTAAGTCTGAATGAGACAATCTAGTAGGAGGAATGGGTCCCCAAAGCAGGCATGAGAGTCAGAGACAGCCACTGCTCACCCTGTTATGAGTTAATAAGAAGATCACATTACATAACTGGAAAACACATTCAGAGGGCCTAGGTCAGTCCCATGTGGACTACCTGGTTGTGGATTCAGTCTCTGTGAGTTAGCCCAGGTTAGTTGGTTCTTTCAGTTTTCTTGTGGTGTCCTTGGCACTCTGGTTCCTATGATCCTTCCTCCAGTATAAGTCAGGCTCCAGAGGTGGGCTAGGCCAGAGACCTAGGATAGAACCAAACAGGACTGTCAAAATAAAGTCAATGAAGTGATTCCTAATGATATTCTGCTATTCTCAAAGATTGGTGCCTAGTTCAGCCGTCAGCAGAGAGGTTTCGTACAGCAGCTAATGGGAACAAATGTAGAGATCTATAGTCAAACATTATGTAGAGCTCAGAGAACCGAATACTATTTTTTACTCAAATATTTTTGAAGTACCAGGAATTCAAGGTGTGAAGGAATAAAATATTTTCTAATCCTCTGTTTAAAACAAACAAAAAAATCTGAAGGTAGGATGTAATCCTTCTTTATTGAGGACAATTTTTATCACTCCAGATACCTGAGAATATTCCAATAAATAACACTCTATTGTTTTCCTCCTTATATTTACCATCTCAGAGTTCCCTGTTTGTCCTTCCTTTCTCTGCAAATGATTTCCCTTAATCTAGATGCAATATAAAGTGGAGTTTAACGTTAGTACTTTAAGTTAGCAATGCATTCAGATAGCTTGTATAGTGTGAGGAATTTCAGGAGAAAGATGGAAATCATAAAGAAAAGCCTAATGGAATGCTACCTATGCAAATTATTTAATAACATAGTCAAAGAATGTGCTTAATAGACCAATTAGAAGATTCAATGCAGCAAAAACAAATGTCAACTTGATGCTTTAAAACAATAAAAATCAAGAGAAGAAGTGAAAATGTCAGTTCACATTACTTCTAAATTGTTAATCTACACAATTGCCCACTTGTTTCTCTGGCCCTCGGGATTTACAAATATCTCACTAAAAACTGCATTCCAACTTCCTTCACTTTCTACTCATTTCTAAATATGGGTACAGGATACAAGTACCACCAGCCGTGGATGGGAGCCAACTGAAACATGGATCCAAGAACAGCATCTAGGACACTTGGTGTGCATTCAGGACCCCGAGCTCTTGTTCAAAGCTAAGTAATCAAATGTAAAATTTTCTGGTCACACACAAAAAGAAAACAAGAGCACATTTAAATGAACAAGTTGTGTTTCATGCAGGTCAGAGACATTTTTGCCCAGTTAAGGTTCACTTCCTGAATTTTCTTCTCTTATCCTTAGACCTTTCTAAATACTTGCTTCAAACAAATTTGGCCTCCACTGTGATTGCGCTAGAGGCAGAATTATAAAGATCTTAATAAAGTATAAGTATATACCTGAAAACAATGCCCACAACAATAGGCACTTTGTCAAAGCCAGCTTGCGGTGCTGGCTCTTTTAGAAGTCATTTTCATTAAAATCTCATATGCTTAGAGAAAGAATGGGTTAACAAAAGGTTGAACATTTACAAGTTATGAAATACTTGCCTCTGTAGAGCAAGATAAATATTATCAATCTGTCTGAATTAGTTCAAGTGGAATATCCAATCAAAGTGACAGAAAAGAGAATCCCCAGGCTCTAACTCATTCCTCTAACTTTAGAATTTTTCTACACACCTCACTTGATCTGAAAGTCTCCACTCTATTTCTTTCTGATAATTTGTTAGAGAGGATGAGAATATCTGAACACATTGTTCATGATTAATTATGGTAATATTTGCAGCTAAAAGTTAGGAACATAGACCTTGTCCACTTTCATGTAAGAATATGACTATCCAATTACACACCAGTGACGACAACAAATATTTTAATAGCTTTACTTATTTATTTGATTTATTTCTTTACTTGTCATTGATGGAGGTCAAACTCAGAGCTTCATGCATGCTAAGCATGTAATTTACGACAGAAAGGCGGTACAGGCTTTGAAGAGCACCATCTTTGTATTCCCTAGGATGGAAAAAATCTAAATTACACTAAACTAAAATAAACCAACTAAATAAGCCTGATTGTAAATTGGGTAAAAAGTAGAATTCAGACCTGGTTCTTTTTTTGTACTTGTACTTCTCTGTGTACTTGTTATATATTAAATATATTACATTATGTTAATGATAATTTTTTGTAAATGTAGTATGTTAATGCTGGACATATTGTAGCCAGCCATGTAACTAGGAGTGCAATAATTAATTTTAACTGCAGGAAAGCAGATTAATCGCTTGTGAAAACTTAAACTTGCACATCATTTGTCAATGTTTCTGTCATGAAAGCTCTCTAATATCTTCAATCCATACATCTGCATTACATTTATCTAATAATATTTCACACAATATTAATCAAATATGATTAATAAGAAAGACCCGGCTCCAACAATATTTTTCTTACTTGAAATTTCTAAGTCCTTAGAAAATTAATGGCTTAGGTGTGCAAAGACTAGTAAATACTACAAAGTCATGACCCTGTTTGTAGCTCATGTTCAGCCTTCTACATTAGAATTCATTTACTGTACCACTCAAGTCTTTTAATGTCTGTGTTTATAACAGTCATGGAAAGAGTGAAAGCATGTCTTAGGATGCCTTGTTACAAAATGTTGCTAAGAAATTGCAAAACCTGTTCAGAAAAATCTAGTGATCATTGAAGTCATCGCTGGTATTCTCCAGAGGACCAGGGAATATCCACAGCACTATTATTTAGGACAGCACAACCCCATATCCAGTTGTGATTTTTTCTGTTTCCTGTTTGATTTTTCAATATAATACACATTTAAGTTGATTGCCCATTGTGCTCCCATTCCCTTATTTAGAAAATAATTCTAGAAACTTAATTCTTTTTTTTTGCGTGCGTCTCTCCTGCATTGCCTTTCTTTTTTTTTAATTTTATTTTCCAGTTTAAATTTAGATAAGAAACAAGGTTGCTTCACAAGTCAGTTCCAGGTCCCTCTCCCTTTCCCTCCCCTCCTCCCGTGCCCTTCCCCCAACCCCCCCCCCTTATCCCCTCATTCCCCCAGGGAGGGTGAGGCCCTCCATGGGGGTGTCCATAGTCTGTCATTTCATATAGGGCAGGGCCTAGACCCTTCCCCAAGAGTTCAGGGTGAGAGTGCACCTCACATTGTTCTATGGGAGTCCAAAGTCCGTGTGTATACTTGGGATGGGTACTGATCTGCTGCCCAAGGCTCAATAGATTACCTAGGCCTCCTCACTGACACCCAGATTCAGGAGGTCTTGATCAGTCCCATGCTGGATTCCCAGGCTGATGCCTGGGATTCAAGAGTTAACCTTTGTCTGGTCAGCTGTTTCTGGGAGTTTCAGTGATATTTTGAAGTACAGGTCTATACTGAAACATTTACAAAACACCTTTACCATCCTCATGAAGCTGTTACTGTAACCTTTCTTGTGCATATGTTGTACTGCATATTTGGCTCCATTTTCATGTGGACAGTTGCTAAAAGTGATACTGAATGAATGTGTTCTATTAATTCAATTCATGTTTTAAAGTTTTGTGAGAGAGTGTGTGTGTTTCAGAGTATGTGCATATGAATGCAGTTCCTTGAGGAGATAATAAGAGGATGTGTCGCATGAATCGGTGCTGGAGTTACAGTTGGTTTTGAGCTCCCTGAAACCAGAGCTTGCAAGCAAACTAAGGTCTTTTACAAGAACAATGGTTGTTCTTAATGATTCAGCCCTCACTGCAGCCTCTGCACATTCCTTTTAAGAAGAAACCAGTGGAAAAATGATTGTAGTGTCCAGCACCACCAAGATCTGAAAGTCTGAGGTGAATATGGTCCTTTACTTCTTACTTTTGAAATTTTTGAGTAACTTCAATTAGAGCACAGTAGAATGATACCACAAATTTAAGTTGTATTTATTCTAATGAGATGGAATTTTTTCATATGTATATATTCTTCTGAAGCAAGTATCCTCTCCTCTGGCTATTTCTACTTATAGCCCATTTTTTGTATTGTTCAGTAGTTCTATTTGTATTATTTGGGTATTAGTCTTTGGAGCAGTGTAAAATGAACTACTGTTTCCCATTTCCCTCAATTTCTATTGTCTTTTTTACTATTAATGTATATTTTTATAAAAAAATTAATTTCAGTGAGCTCAGTTTGTGCAGTTTTCTTCTATATTCAATGCTTTCTGGGTCCTTTGTAACAAACATTTTACTTGCATCAAGAATACTTGTAGTTGTTTTTTTTTTCTCTTATTCCTTTGGCTTTTATCTGGGGGCACCACCCAGCTCCCAAATAATTATACAGAAACATATTCTTACTTATAAATGCCAGACCTTATCTTGCTTTGTTTCTTGTCAATTTTTCTTAAGTTAAATTATTCCACCTACATTTAGTCTTTGGTTTTTAACCTTTTTGCTTCTATGTTTCTTTCTTTACTTTTTACTCCATGACTTGTTGTGTAGCTGGGTGATATCCTCCTTTCCTTCTCTTCTCATTCCTTGATGCTTTCTGTCCAGATTTTTCCTATTTATTCTTTTTGCCAGCCAGCTTCACTTATCCTTTCCCCTGCCTGGATATTAGCTGTTAATCTCTTTATTAAACCAATCAGGTGTTTTAGACTGGCAAAGAAACACAGCTTCACAGAGTTAAACAAATGCAACATAAAAGAATGCAACACATGTTTGCATCTTTAAACAAGTATTCCAAAGCATAAACAAATGTAACATATCTTAAAAATATATTCCACACAGATACACCAATGTTTTTTCTATTTTCTTTAGGGTGTTCTTTTGTTTTCCTCTAACTTTACATCTGTAACAAACCTGGAGCTAGCTTGTTTAAATAAATGACATAAGGTTGAGTCAGGGGGTAATATTCAGGAGACAACAATGAAAGCATGGTACCTATCACCTAAGACCTTGTTCTTTAATGACTGGATCATTTACTATAATATGCTAGTTCCACATCACAATATAACAGAAGAAAATTTTTATTTTAAAAATCTGCTCCTGGATATTCATTTCTTGACCTGAGGAAATCCCTTAATTGCTCTGTTGGGTAATGAGAGACATAATTCTCTGCCCTGCTGCTGTGGACTTTTGTTGAACCAGAGTCCCTTTGTTGTGCATGATAATTAACCAGGGTCTTCACTCCTCCTCTTCTCCTTTGCAGAGGAAACTCCAAGGTGTGCTGAAATAGAAGATGGCTAGGTT